GCGACGTATGCACGCTGCGCTTCGCCCGTCAGCAGGGGAGCCAGCACCCGTGCCCAGTCATCCTTATGCCACCCTTCCAAGGTGGCCGTCGCTTCGAACATTTGTAAGAAGGCTTCTATGTCATCATGAGGGGTCAGCTTGGGTAGCAGCTTCGCGGCTTGTACTCGGGGGTCCGGCAGCGGAACGCGTTGAGCGGCGGCGGCACACAGTGCCGCGAGTTCCTGCTCCGTCTCTCCTTGACGGGTGGCGAGGTGCTCAACTATTTGTTGCTGGCGGATGCTAACCTCGGTGAGCCGCTGGAGGATTTCGTCCATGGTGGGGGAGGAGCGCTCGCCTGTGACAGAACCGGGAGACAAAAAAAACAAGGAACAAAAGGTGAGGTGAAGAAGATCGCTTGTCGGTGATTCTTCACGGATTTGCCTGCATTCCCCACCATTGTAACGGGGTGAAGAATCACACGACAAGTAATCTCAATCAATACCCCGGAGGGTGGATTTATTGGGGTGATGGGTGTTGGTGAGAAAGGTCCAGGTAGGTGCTCCGGTGCCATGTGCCTCTTCCGTCTTCCCAGTGCAAAGGGTCCGTGCAGTGCTCCTGTGGAGCTGGTCGGTCACACGCTGCTTTCTGTGGGAAAAATGAGAGGGCGAGTTAGTGCTCAGTCTCATGGAGGAATCTCCTAGATGGCAGGTCTTGCGTGGCTTATGTAGCCGCCGCCTGATGAGGTGCAGCTGTGACCGATCAGCCTGTGATGATGATGGCCAGGTGCTCCTCGCTTGTTTCCAGGGCGACGCTGATGAAGCTTCGGGACGCTCGTCACAACATATTAACCTATATATACATATATAATTATATTAATAATAATTAATTTTAAATTAAATTAGTAAATCTACATTATATATAAAGACCATTGTAAGATGTTAGCAAGATATTGACTGTGTATATAAGCAATACATAAAAAAAAAAATACATGGCTGAAATAATAAGAAATCATGTTTTGATTGATATAAATTTACACTAAATTCATTTATTAGCCTATAATAAAAATATATTTATTTAATTCATCAGCTATCCAGAAAATTCCTTTATGGACTGTCATTGCTAAGAATATCAGAATGGGTTAGAGAGGGAAAACAAAGAAGAACGCGGTTAAAAAAAAAAACCTTTGAAGCAGCAGTGAAGCATAGGTTGAAGAAAAAGACACTTTAACACATGGGTGTGAATGCTGTTTTAAAATCCAGATGTTTGAGGTCAGTTTTGGCAAATGTATGTATCCTGATTTCACTGAAGAGGTTTTATTTTGTGTGTTGAACTTTCAGATGGAACATGTTCCTCCTTATGATGTGGTGCCTTCCATGAGACCCATTATTTTGGTGGGACCATCCCTTAAAGGCTACGAGGCAAGACAGTATATCTCTCTCAAAAAAATGTCTATTAAAAATTTTAGTCATGTTCTTCATCTTGCTCATTTGTGTGTGTGTATCGTTGCAGGTGACAGATATGATGCAGAAAGCTCTCTTTGATTTTCTAAAACACAAATTCGAAGGCAGGTGGGTACCAAAATATGCATGTCACGGTCATAATAAAGATTTTAAAAAGAAAATAGTTAATCGTTTTGAAATTCGGCAAGACTTATGTTGTTAAAGAAGCTGTTAATATAAATGGCAAAGTTCTGTGTAGATTATTAACGCTGGAAATATCACTATACGCTCGTGCTGTAATTGGCATACCATGGTTATGGCTTGTTGTTTGTTCCAGAATATCCATCACCAGGGTGACAGCAGACATCTCACTTGCCAAACGTTCCGTCCTAAACAACCCCAGCAAACACACGATCATCGAGCGCTCCAGCACCAGATCCAGTCTGGGTATGAAACACACCTGCACACACTGCTACTGAAAGAGCTCCCTCACGTGGTCAAAGCCGGAGCAGGCTGAACATGTGGTTTAGCAACACGCTGAGTGACCAAAATAACAAATGTTCTGAACAAAGCAAATTTCAAACTACAGAACTATTCACATCGAGAGCAAGACAACTAGCCTGTTTGTTGGGATGAATGAAATGCAAATTCATTCTGATTTTGTAGACAAAAAAGACGTTTTGCAAATATGCGCTCTCTGTGCGAATAGGCTGTTAGACTACTTTTGGAGAGATGAAAATTCGCTTGTCAAGCCCTGTCAGTTTTCAGTAGTGTACACTAGTACACATTCTTTCTGTTTCCTGAACATTTTTCTTAGTGTTTCCTCCTCTTGCTCTGTTACGTCATGTCTGATCTGCCTTTTTTCTCTTTTTCATCTTGCTTTCTCCTGACACTCCTTCCCACCACACATTTCCTCCTTCTCTCTTTCTCTTCACCTCAGACGTACTGGGTACGTATCTTATCATCCCACCCTTTTCCCCTTTGCGGCCATCCATCTGTCAATGCATTCATGTCCTCATCCATCTGTCCCTGTACTTAACCCTCTTTCTTGAGTTTGGAGTGAACATTCTTAATTTTTTGGCACAGTTGTGGTGTTATTAATCAAAAAAAAAAAAAGAACACTACTAACTTATCAACATTTTTCAGTAGCTCATCTGTTTTGAAAACACTGTACAGTAGCTTTTCCAATAACAAGCTATTGTTGCCAACACATGGCAGTGAAAAGTAGTGGTGTAGTTTTCCCCCACATTATATTGCACACAATATCAATACTTTTATTCAGCAAAGGTGCATTAAATTAATCAAAAGTGACAGTATTCTGAACTTTCTATTCATCATAGAATCCTGAAAAAAAAAGTATCATGGTTTCCACAAAAACATTAAGCAGCACAACTGTTTTCAACATTGATAATAGTAATAAATGTTTCTTGAGCAGCAAATCAGCATATTAGAATGATTCCTGAAGGATCATGTGACACTGAAGACTGGGGTAATGATGCTGAAAATTCTGGAATAAATTACACTTTAAAATATATTACAATAGAAAACAGTTATATTGTAATAATATTTCACATTATTACTGTTTTACTGAACTTATAATCAAATAAATGCAGTTTTGGTAAACATAGGAGACTTCATTCAAAAACATTAGTGTATATGTAAATGAAGTGATAGTTAGATATGAGAACGTTTGACCAGAAAAGTATATTTTCATTATATGTGCAGGTTGTGTGCAGAGTGTTCGGATTGCGCTGTATTCTCTGAGGAATCCAGGTGTTCCTCTCATGGTGTATAAGCTTAGGGACCAGTTAAACACTGTTGTTTATCACAATGTTTTTCATTCAGTCCTATTAATTAAGGTGTTTTGTAGTTAGTAGTACTTAGTTTGGTGTGTATTTATGTTTTAATGTTTTAAAGATACTGTCACACTAATTGAGATCTTCATTGTTTTGTTCGGGAAAACATTGTTCTGATTTAATTGTAGTAAAATGTGTAATAGGTTAGTTTCAAAGATGTTGCCCCTTAAATAGCTTCAAAGTAATGCAACTACATTTTATTTAAAAAAAATTTAATGGTAACTTGCATGCATAGATTCTGTTAGAAGTGTGATGCCACTTCTCATATAGCACTTCACACCCACAGACGCAAACACGCATACTGATCTACATAACTGCAGCTTTCTACAGACTTCCATGGATCAATGCAGAAAGCTGCACATAGCATGTAACCGGTCTTCTGCAAACTACCGTCATGCTGTTCAGCGTTCCATTTACTTAAAGGTAAATGGAACTAAACTAGCACATGAGCACACGCTCAAACATGCATATATTCAAGCAGACCATAATAACCCCCACATGCATGATATATACTAACATAGGTTTGAGTATGAAATCAAATTGTGAGGTAAGTCTTTCTGGTATTCATCTTGTTTAGTACAACTTTAGGTGTGTTTATGTGTGCATTCAGCATTCTCTGCTATACACTGCAAAAAAATCTAAATAAATTTAGTGACATGTATGGCTAAATTAAATGAAAATACTAGTGGAAAATTATTTTTATGATCCTTTTAGGATGTTTTGATATTTTTATTAGAAAATTAGAATATTAATTTTGCAGTGTATAAATGAACTTTGGTTGGCAAATATGTGCAATAGACGAACACTAAGTGGCGATTTCTGTGCTTGGATGTAGTTATGATATATTGTATATCCATTAATAATGATATATTCTTATTCATTTTTCTTTTATCTGGCAGCTGAGGTACAGAGTGAAATCGAGAGAATCTTTGAGTTGGCCCGGACGCTCCAGTTAGTGGCTCTGGATGCCGACACAATCAACCATCCATCTCAGTTGGCCAAGACGTCACTGGCACCTATCATAGTCTACATCAAGATTGCCTCTCCAAAGGTATACATTAGCTGAATATACACATTACCGTTCAAACGTTTGTAGTCGGTGTGATTTTTGTTATGTTTTTAAAGATGTCTCTTATGCTCACGATGATTGCATTTTTTTTTTTTTACTTTAAAAATATGGTAAAAACAGTAATTTTCTATTTGAATATATTTATTACTGTGATGCAAAGTTGAAGTTTCAGCAGCCATTACTCCAGTCCTCAGTGTCACACGAACCTATTTTTGTGGAACCTGTGATTATATATTTTTTTCTTTTGTTACATTATAAATGTCTTTACTGTCACTTTTGATCAATTTAATATGAATAAAGCATCCTTGCTGAATAAAAGTATTAATTTCTTTCAAAGAAAAACTTACTGACCACAAAATGTTTGAACAGTACTCTAAAAAATGTTGGGTTGTTTCAAAACAACTGGGTTGTTTTTGGGTCAAATATGGACTAACCCAACTGTTGGGTTAAATTTTTACATTTAATTTTTAATCCAAAAGTTAGTCCATATTTGACCCAAAGTTGGGTTGAAACAACCCAGCATTTTTTTTAATGGTTTCAGATGCTTTTTTGGTTAAAACATTTCAGTGTGTACATCATAATAATGTATGTTTATTGGACTTATATTTGTGTTTCTGTGTCTCCCTCGCGATCAGGTGTTGCAGAGGCTGATAAAGTCCAGGGGTAAATCTCAGGCCAAACATCTCAATGTCCAGATGGTGGCAGCTGATAAACTTGCGCAGTGTCCTCCTGTGAGAATATGACTTTTGATTTCTACTGATTAACATTTATGTACACTTTTAGATTTGTATAATTTGCTTTTGGTTTTAATGTGGTTGGAAAGTTGTGAAAGCTGCGCTAAGCTTTTTGCTCACGAGCTGCATTTTCTCTTCTTTTTTCATTTCCTTCTTTATTCTTTGTTTCTTAGGCACATACAGGATTTTTCAAATTTGGGTGCTCATAGATTCAGTCTTGTCTAGTCATATGCAAAGTTATTGTCTCCAACATGTAGACTGCATGTTTGCTTTCTTTTTAAAACATCCTTTTTTCTTTTTCAGGAGCTTTTTGACATAATATTAGATGAGAATCAGCTGGAGGATGCATGCGAACACCTGGCTGAATACCTGGAGGCCTACTGGAAGGCTACACACCCTCCGAGCGGCAACCCACCCAACCCTCTGCTCAATCGCACCATGGCCACAGCCGCCCTGGCAGCTTCGCCCGAACCCGTCTCCAACCTGCAGGTACAGGTGCTCACTTCCCTGCGTCGCAACTTGGAGCTCCTCGATGGCTCCCCTGCTACAGGGCAAGGGCAACAGGAAGAAGAACACGCCCTGTAAAGACAGGGCCAGGATTACAATGGGATATTGGAGGGTCCCGTACCTGTCTCCCAATCACAGAAAAGTAACGATGGCTGCTCAAGAGATAGAAATGCCCGACTATAATTCTGTTGTCTGTCTCTGCTCCTCTCCTTTAACAGATCTCTCAATGATAAAAATAATGCAACACACATACACACAAACAAAATATCCCATACGTGATCAACATAATCATAAGTCCTCCACAGTCCACACAGTGTCCCCTCATTTGAAACGCCTGCTGGATTTTACAGTGTCCTCTTGCTGTCTGGGAAATGTAGTTTAGATCGCTACCCTCTTCCAGGCTGCCATGGCACCAGCTCTGAAAAACGCACTCATGTCCATTGTCCTATTAACACTGAGCCGAAATTCTAACAGAAGCTCGTGTATGTGCATTGACACCAGTGTTGTTTACCCAAGTTAAACAAAAGTGTGTGTTTGTGTGTCTGCGTGCAGAAGTGAGAGACAGCGAGTGCAAAAGTGAGTCAGTGAGGGAGACAGAGGATAGATCAGTGCCTGTGTGTCAGTGCATTTTTGCAACTATCTCACCGCAATCTGAACAAGAAAAAATGAGCATCCATCTGCTCAGTCTTCACCATTACACAGTTGTCTAGGAGACCAAAGTTACATAGCTTTGAGATGTTCTTTTAATAAAAGTCAGTTTATCCTCTTATAGTCACAGGCACCTCAAATATTAAGATGTTTAAATGGATTCACTTGTTAATTAGAT